TTGGGGTCCGCGCCCATTCCAGGCTGCTGACAGAGAGGCTTGAATGGACCCTAGGTTCCCCCTCTTCCCTCCGTGGCATGGCAATTTTAAAACTGTCCACTCCGGGGCACTCCACTGCCTTGGACCACAGAGAGGCAGTTCAGGGTACCCCAGAGGTCCGTGGAAAATGGAACTGAAAGTTAAGTTTTCTGAAGTTCATGCATACTTCAGAAAGTTCATCAAAAATAAGCCTATGATGATAAAACACGCAGGCATTTCAAAAACGTTTTACACCAAAATAATTTTTTTTTAATCTGCTGTTTTTTCAGGAATACCTTCATCAGCGACTGTGTCGACCCCGCGGTGCATTCCGCACATTCCCGGGGTTCACAGTGCGGACCCCCCACTACCGAGCTCTTCCCGGCAGCCAGCGTCTCTTTCCAGCCGCACGGATCCCGCCTCCCCGCGCCACGTCCCTCAGCACCGACCCCGCACCAACCCACCTCTGCCGTCGCTAGGACTTACCGCCACCTTTGCAGAACTCGCTGGGGCCAGTAGCCAGGGCCAGGGCCCAGGAGCGCTCCGCGCCCGCAGACGCTCGAGGAGCTGGGCCGCGGGGCCGTCTCGCCGGCCCAAGAACGGGAACCTGGCCAGGAAGGCCGTGGCCGCGGCAGACGCACTCCACAGGCCAGCCGACTCCAGGGAGACGCCGGGGCGGCGCGGGGGCAGCGGAGGCTGTGCTGGGCCCGAGGGAGGCCGGCCGGCCGGCGGACGTGGGTGCCGCCCGCTCGCTGCGGTGGCCCTCGGGAGCGCAAGGTGCCGTGGCCCCGCGGCCGTCAGAGGCGCGCCTGAGCGCAGCGCCCGCGCGCCCCCGGCGACGCCCCGAGCTGGGTTGGCGCTGCTCACCCAAGGACTGAGCAAACTCAGCTCACACGCGCAGCTCTCCCTGTCTCCTTCCCTTTGTGCTACAGCGCCCTGCCAGCCGACAGTTTTAGACGGCTAACGCTGGAGAAAGCCTCGGGGGGCCAGTCGGACCGGGAGACGGTCGCCGCGCCCGCATCCCTGGCGGCCTGTGGAAGGCCAGCGTCTCGCCCCACAGCAAAGAGGCAGGAGCCCACCCGTCGGACCAAACGGGTCCACAGCCATGGGAACACCGGGCCCCGACTGCCTCCAGGTCACCCTGAGAAGTGACTTGCGAGAAAACTCCCATTGCTGCCTTCCTGGCTCCTACTTCTGTCGAATCTCTCATTTACTCATGCGTGTCTTATACCTGGCTGGGTGTCGTGAGGATGTCCTTTCTGACTTTGGATTCAGGTATGATTGTTTGCGGACGTTTAGATAACATTTCCTAACTCTGCGGTGTAGCACAGTAGCACGCCAGGGATATCCGCGACCCGAATCTGGCCCTGGGTCGAGGAAGGTTGCATGTTGGCCGCCCCAGCCTGGCACCTTGCATGGGAGGTGGGCACAGTTGCAGTCCTGAGGTACCTGCATGTGAATGAACAGGTGGATGAGGGAGCCACCAGGAGGACTTGGCCACGAAGATGGACCAGAACCAAGGGGAAGCAAGAGTGCTATGGCTGGCCTGTGGACCCCTCAGTCCCCGCTGCGGCAGGCGGAATCACTATGCTGCCCACACACCCGGATGGTGGCTCCGGGAGACTCGGCTTGGAATTCTGACTTTCAGATCAATAAGATAATACCTTTGTGTTTTATAGTTCCGAAAGTGGGGTCTCTTGCTGTAATGACAGTTGGAAACTAATAGGCCATCTAGTTACGTTCTCAATGTTTACAATATAGCCATTTCTAGTATCTTGTTAGTATAACATGAACCCACATTGGTTATTAATACCATAATCTTTTCTCCTGATGGTCCCTGGCTCCGTCTTCGTTTCCTTTCTGTATGGGAAATTTCCTTCAGCTGTAATTTTTTCACCCTTCATCTGGAATATCTCCCCCGGATTCGTGGTTGACGTGATTTTCTAGCAGCACTTGGAAAAAAAACGGACTGCTTTCTCCTACACACAACCATGTGCCTCCATGGTTGATGACAAAAACTCTGGTTTCGTTCCAAGTGGTTTCCTTTCTGTAGGTGTCACTTCTCACTGCTTTCAAAAAAGTTCTTGTCTTTCCTTGTGAGACTTGGCTGCAGTGTGCCTTGGCGTGGATTTCTCTGGGGTTGACACAGTCAGAGGATTTGTTTCCTTTGCAAAATTCAGGATGTTGAAACCACTGCATCTCTGGGTTCTCTTTCAGGGACACCATGAGTCGTCTTTTATCACACTCCCACGGGGCCCTGGGCAGACGGGAAGGCTTGCCCTAAGCGTTCTGCGTTGGTTTGGTTTTCCAGGCTGGGGAATTGTAATCATTCCATCTTCCAGCTCACTGGTTTGCTTCTCCACGTGCCTCATTTTGCTTCTATGTCCTCCTGTGGAATTTTCAGTCTCATCTCTTTATTTTTCAATGGCAGCGCTTCCGTTTAGTTCTCCACAGCTTCTGTGCCATTACTAGGACTTGCCGTGGTTTTCATGTCTTTCAAACATGTTCCTTGTTTCTTCTTAAAGTGTTTTTATGTTGGCTGCTCTAAAATCTTGAAAAGGTTGTTGAAATGTAACTCTATCTTGGTTATGTCTATTTGCATTTCATTGCCCTGGTTCTTGAGACAAGTAATTTTTCAGTTGAAAGCAGAGGTTTTTTTGGAGTTTGTGAGGAGATGCTGGGTCTCAGTGAAATCTTCTATCTTAGCTGATTTGCACTCAAACCACCTCTGCCTGAGGAAGGGAGTCTAACATGGGCAGGGAAGTACAGGTGCAAGGTTGAGCTCAGCTTCTATCACCCAAGGGAGTCAGGGCACACTTTACTGCTGGATTTCCAATTCCCCACCAGGCCTCCAGCAACTCACCCATGGCTGAAAGTGTGGGATAGTCTGCTACTGTACCTGTGTGGTCTTCCCCAGCACATTGAGCACTGCATATGCCTTTACATCCTGAGGCTGCTGGCTGGCCTGTCCTCCCACCACGTTGCAGAGTCTTTCTCAACACAGTGTTCTATGTCTTAAGTTTAGGAGGTATACTTGTACTTAGAGGAGTAGGGGAAAGAATGCCTACTTGATTTTCACAAAAGTCAAAGTTCCTATACATGCTTCTTTTATATTCTGCTTCTGATCATTTGAGTATCTTAAAACCTTGGCAATCTTTTGTTGTTGTTGTTGTTACTCATTTTATTATTTCAAAGGTAACGAAACAGAGAGAGCCGTTATCTGTTGGTTTGCTGCCCACGTGGAACTGGGAACTCAGTTTTGGTCTCCAGTGCCAGTGGCAGGGACCCAGGTACCAAACCATCCCCTGCTATCTCCCACAATACACTTTAACAGGAAGCTGGAATTGGAAGTGGAGTTAGGACTGAAAGCCAGACACTGCAGTGTGACACAGGTGACACACGTAGCATTTTAACTGCTGCACCAAACACCCAACCCTACATTTATTATTTAACAATTGTCTTCTCATTCATGGGAGCTACTGGAAACTAGGAACCCCATTAGTCTTCATTTAGCACCTGAATCCCCAGGGTATTTTTGTGCCCTGCATAAGGGGTGCTCTGGGGTTAGGGGTCCCATCCCAGCACTGCCACAGGCACTTGGCCCCAGGACATGGGGTCAGTTGTTGAGCAGCTCACTCTTTATTCCTGCTCTTCTTCTGTGCAAGAAGGGTTGGTAACATTCTGAGTACATTTCTGCGTGCTCAGCAACACGGTTTCCAAAGGTTGTGTGGTGGCAATGGGACCAAAATCACCTTGTACATTGACTGTTGGTAGTATTATCCTGAAAACAACTAGGGAAATAGTACTCCTCGTGGTTAGAAGGCGAGATGTGAAGGTGTCACTGTAGTGAGATAGATTCTTGGAATGATACACTCAATTCCTAGTGTGTAAGTGGAGCCATACCAGGACTCAGGGCCACTGACAGAAGTGGTCTCCCCCAGAGGAGGTAAGAACGAGGAAAAAGGAGGAGAGGATGGGCCTAGTGGTAAAGATGCCTACACCCCACATTGCCGTGTCAGGTTCCATTCCCAGGTCCAGCTCCTGACTGCATCTTCCTGCCCAGGCACATTTGGGGCAACACAGGGAATGGCCCCAGGAGTTGGGTCTCTGCCGTGTACGTGGCAGATGCAGACTGAGTCCCCAGTGGTTGGCACAACCTCACTCACGGCAGGCATTTGGGGAATGAACAGGAGAAAGGGAGCCCTCTTTCTGCTGGTGTGTTTTTCCACCTCTTAACTAAATAAATTAACTAAAAATAGTTTTTTTTAAAAGACCCAAGGGAACACTAGGGCATTATTATTGGAGGTCATAGGAAAATAGTGGGGTGTGACAGCTGTAACACATGGTCTAACCTGCAGTCCAGCCTCATAACGTAATTGCAGCTGTAGCTGACAAATTCCTTCTTGTCATTTTTTCAAAGAGAAAACAAAGCCAATCTTTTATTTTATGCTTCTGCAACCCATCCACACTTATCCCAGTTTGGAAGGTGTGGCTCAGAGCATTCCACAGGGACCTGGGTTTTCTGCCAATTACTGCTCTGTTTCCCACCCTTCTTCCCTTTATTCAGTCAGCAAATACAAGATGTTCACCATGTCTCAATAAACCAAGAATCAGAGTTTAGTTCCCCAAAATATATTTTTTCTTTACAATCGCAACAATTCTACTTTCAAATACCCTCCTAAGAACAGCCCCAAGGAACCCACCTCTCCAAAGAAAACTAAAGGGATTGCTCATACTTGTTGTGTGCCAGGCTCTGTTACTGACTCCCCCAAATGACCTCAAGGTACAGATGTTTTGATTACCCTCTGCCTATGGGAAAGACACGGGGAACCAAGACAGCTTTGTGTCAGCAAGTGCCGGAACTTCCCATTGGCATGGGCAGTTCCACTCCAGGATCAGCCCAGCCCAGACACAGGATGGGTCGTGCTTTGAGACTAACAACATGGTGAAATGGAGGCCTTGCCCAGGGCAAACAGGTTACACCACAATACATTTCTTCCTCTAAGAACAGTATGCCATTTTTACAGTTTCTAAAAATGTTAGTAACTGTCTCTGCATCTTGTTTATTTATCAAGCTGATTAAAAAGCAAACACAAAACAGACCAGAGCAGTTCACCAGTACCACCACCAAGCATCCTTGGAAACACACAAGAACACTACCAAGTTGAGAGAGCAGCTGCATCCACAGGAGTGGACAGTGAGCTGCTGGCATGGCCTCAGGGGTTGGGGGGAGTCTCAGCCATCTTATTCCTCTGCCCAGTGTCTGTTTCTAATCTGGGGAAAAGGCACCCTCCCCAATGAAAAGTCTCTTCAAGGGATTGCTGGAAGCAGATTCAATGTGGAGATACTTGGGTCTCTGTTCTCTAATGGAAAGAAGTCTTCTCATGGCACACTGGGGAGACTGTCCTGAGATGCATTCTAGACGGTTCTACTGAGGCTTGGTTTCCTGCTTCTTGAGCATGTCTTCTATTTCCTGGGAGACTTTGCCTTTGTAGTCATTTGCTTCTATTGCATTTAACTTCTTCTGATACTCCAGGGGCAGACCATGTTCTTTGGCACCCATGCATACAACCTAGAAATGGTTCAGACCAACAAAATGATCCTTTGAGTTAGGAACAGAACTTACTTTAGCATTCCACAGCCTTATCTGCTCTATGGAAATATGAGATACTGCCTTTCTGATGCTTCTAGAAACTGACACAGTTACTGCTCTCACACTGAGCATGAAATGAGCAAGGACCTTTCAATGCCACATGAGGCATTTCACTCCATAACACAATTTAAAACATTCTTAAAATAGATCTTGTTGTATAGAATTTATATGATCTTTTAAGAAAAAAAAATTCTTCAAAACAGTTTAGTTTTTCAGGAAACAGTTTGTTTTCATTCTAAAGTATATTCTCTTCACCCCACTTTAACATTTATTCTATTTCAAAGGCAGAGTGGCAGAGATGCAGATATTCCTTCTGCTGGCTCACTCCCCCAAATGCCTACAGTAGCCAGGGTCAGGCCAGCAGAAGCCAGAAGCCAGGAACTAGCTCCCTCAGGTGCGTGGGAGGAGCCCATGGACCTGGGCCGTCATTCACTGCCTCCCAGGAAGACTGAGCCGAAAAGTGGATCAGAACTCGATCTCAGGCATTTCCAGCAGGGGCAAGGTCTACCCTTGTTCTGAACTTGGTCACGGGGAATACATGGCAACCGTGCACAGGGGTTCCTTCAAGAGCAGTGCCAGGCTAATTACTGCAGGTGCCACTTTGGGTGCCATCTTCTGACCAGGACTGCCAACAGATACTTCAGCTTGGGGTTCTGAGGAGGGATATTGGAGTCTCTATCCCAATCCTTGTCTTGTGCCAATAACCATGATTCTGAACGTGTGACTTCGACCATTCAGGGAGGGAAAACATTGAAGCAGCAGCAAATTTATCATTTCCCCACAAAAATGAATCTTGTTATTCACAAGATTTTGTGAAAGCAGCAGCCATAACAAAGTATGAGTGCAGACTAAACCTATTAATAACACACCCGTATATGTTTTTGACTTCGAGAAAGAAAAGGGATAGTTAAGATTCTGCTCCATATACATTTCCAAAACTTTTTTCCTTTACCATGAACAGAAAAAAAGCAAGTTCTATCATTGTATGTGAATCCGATCAGTTTTTAAATCTGCATTTTAGGTTATGATCATCTTTCTGTTTAAAAATATTTTGATCCAAATGAGCTGTTCATGTGAGACTTAAATCACATGAGGCCTTTTGAAAGCAAGACACTCTTCAGTGGATTTTGGTGAAAATTCAAAAGGATTTCCCCCAAACCTTGAGAGCCGCTTACCTTCTTATACTGTGGGGAAGGGGGAGCGCTCTCATAATTTGTCATCAGGTAACTTCGACAGGTTAATTCTTTCCTTTCTTGAGTTGACACCTTAACTTCTATCACAATGTAGATTCCGCTTTCTACCCCTTCTTGCCTGAAACCACAAGTCAAAATTTCAATCTTATTTGACTTAGGCAAATTTCGTTTATGGTTGTAAAGTGCTTGCTTGTCAACTTGGGTATAGCATGAAAAATGTTACCATAAACATACATGCTCCCCTGATGTGTTCTGGAATACGTAGCAAATACACTCCACTGTATCTAAAGTAGGTGTAGCATAGCAGTCAGACGGTCAGAATTTACAGTAGAGCCAGCCCTCTGTATCTGAGTCCCACACTGTGACAGTTAACAGGTACAGCTCTTTTTTTCCCTGTCACTAATTCTGAAACAATATAGCTTCATGAGTATTCATGTAGAGTTTGTCTTAACCACTAAAATAATGTGTGTGGCTGGGAGCAAACACTGCATGCTGCCTATGGGGGTCGTGAGCATCTAGCATGCTGGTGTCCAAGCCTCACCCACCAGCAAGGATGGCCCTGGCTGGTACACCTCTGACCATTCTGTGTCCATCCTGTCTGAAAACATGTTTCTGTGTAGTCCTTCCCATCTCTGTTCCCTGACCTACAGAAGCTGGACAGTGTGTTCTGAACCCCACAAGGGCACAGAATGGCTCCCTCTTGTTCACAAGTAAGGCAAAGCAACAGGCTTGCTGGACAGACCAGTCTTTCTCAAGGCCTACTCTGGCCAGCTTTCTTGGAGTTAAATGCTCCGCACAACACCGAGAAGGGTCTGGTTAGAAGACATTAGCAAACATTTCCAGAAGGCTGTGAATGTTTTACAGATTGTTATTATTCACTGACTTGTTCAACTTCCACTCTAAAGAATGAATTAAAAAAAAAAAAAAACTGAACCAAATTGCTTTTGAAATAAATAGGTAACAGTTACAGACACAACCATGATTTTTTATAATATGAAACTACACAGAGAAATGTTTATAAAAGAGAATTGCTTGGGAAAAAAAAATAAGGGTTTTCATCTTTTACACAGGACAGGACAAACACTCCCACAAATCTCCATCAGAAAGTGTGATACTTCTAGACTTGTGAGAAAAACTCAGGTTGCCATTTCATTCATGTTGACACTAACATACATATCCCTGGACCATGACTTTGAAACATTTACACGTCCTACAATACAATCTGCCTTTTAATTATTTATTTTTAAACTTAGAATCCACCTACTCATCCAGAGAACTTAGATTGCTTTTGTCCATTTTCCACACAACTCCCCACACTTCATCGCCAGGACTCTGATAAATGGTGGCTATTCCTCCGTGCCACCGCTGACTTGTTTTCCCTTGGAAATTGCCGAAGTCCAGTGTAAAATCCTATGAAGGAAACCAAAGGGGTATGATCACTGCCAGCCTGACCCCAAATTTTTCTCCACAAAATGAAAAGGATTTTCCTTGACCTCCAAGCAATTAAAACATTCCGTACATTGACAGTTCCTTCTCTGTGTAAGAAGCTGTAGAAAAATATAAAGATAAGCAGATAAGGACCCGGATCTTAAGGGTTATGGTTTTTGTACACTTTCTCTGAAAAATGAAATATATATTGAATATGTACAAGTACCTTAATTAAAAGGTTTAAGGGGGTGAAAAAGTCCCATAATCCAATACCTTAATATGATCACTGCCATTTTTGCAAATTCTTCCCACTTTCATATGTTTGTACTTACAGACAAGCTGGGTAACAGCTACAATTTTCATATTATCTCTGCTTTTATGTTTGTAGACTCCAGCAGGATATATCACCATATCTGCTCCTAAGGAGGTTGGCACCTAACAATGATTTGTACACTTTGGGACACTAACCCAATATTCATGAATTGTACTCGATAATTGCTAACAGCAGGTAGCATCGGAAAATTATTGGTCGCTACATAAGGTGCTATTTGCTTTATGCATGGATTCTCTCTTATCCTGACAACAGTGTATGATACCCACCGTGGCTTAGTAACATGATACAACTGGCCTAAAGTCTCATAGCTAGTAAGTAGAGGCGCCCCAGTGCTGGTTTAGCCTGATGGGGATAGTGCGGGGATCAGTAACCTGGGGAGAATTAGGAATCCTCGCCTGGCTCGTGTGCGCTGGGATGCTGAGCTCCCTTCAGCGACAAAGGCCTTTCCCATTTACACACTATCCCTGTCTCTGTTTTCTCCAAAACCTTGCCCGACATTTCAGCCAAGAGGTCTTTGCCTGCAACCCGTGCCTCCAGCTGGTCAGTCTGGATATTCCTGCAGGACCCTGTGTCCTTGGATGTGATGAAGGCCCCAGCCTGCACCAAGGACTGGCAGTCCACTGCCAAATCCAAGAGATGACTCTCAATCCTCAGCTTGCTGCATGGCTCAGCTGTCTGGGATGCAGCTCTTCCCTTCTGCCCTCTGTCCTGACCACTCTTTCCCTTTGCTAGTTCTCCATCCACAGCCAGCATGCTGGTAATTCTCCGGGCTCTGTCGAGGTCTTTTTCCTCCCAGACCTGATTCTCTTCAGTCTGTGCTCCTCGTCATCCACCTTGGGCCAGCCGTGGGCAGTCTGACATCTCCTCCCTTCACGCTCCATCACCAGTGTCATCTCCTAAACATCTCTCAGCTCTCTCCACCCTCCCTGGCCAATGCCCTGGCTCAAAGTGACTGCATCCTCTCTGGCACCACTCTCAGCAGCAGGTTCCCAACTGGGCTCTGCACGTCTGCTCCCGTCCTTGTCCAAATCCATGGACAACAGGATGAGCGTTCCGAGCTGCACCTGTGCTCTTTGATTTCCTTCAGTTCTCAAATGACCTTGAGAGGGAAGTTCCAAGTGCTGTTTGGTTCAGGGGCCTTGTGGCAGTTCTCTGAGTTCTGTCTCTGAGTTCTCATGCCACACACTGCCCCCTCCTCCTTGCAAAACTCCAGCTGTGCTGGCTGAAGATCCTGACACTGCTTTCCTTTGTATCTGCCATTCCCAGTGTCTCTTTTGTTCCCCGGGTCACTCACGATTTTAGGGAGGACATTTGTGAACCCTGTGGGCAGCTCAGTTTCATGATCATGGCAGCTTGCAGGTCTCCTGATTTGTTGTTTGTTTGTTTAAGCTGGCCATACCTATAACTGAGCAGTTGTCAATTTGATCTCTTTTCCTCCTAACCAAGTGTTTGCTTATTTGGGAGATTCCCTAACCTTATGAACTGAGGGTCTGGGGTTCCAGCGCCTGACTCCATGCATTAATTCTCTCCATTTTGTTTGCAGTCAGGGAGTGGGTACATGGCCAGGATTTGCCAATCAGGACACCCATCTGGGGTTTTGAACTAGAAGCGGTGCCCAGTACAGCTGGGATTCCACCCGGGTGGAGGCTGCCACACAACAGGGCACAGATGTGGGACACTGGCAGGCACGGTCGAGCGCACGTGGTGCTGGTGCTGGGTCCCAGCCTACCAGTGGAGTTCTGTCAGTGCTGCCAGGCGGGCTATCCTAGGTCAGTCCTCCATACCTGCCTATTTGGCCAGTGTGTCCTACTGCCTTGCCCCATTCACTCTGTGAGCCCCTCCAACATCCTGTCAACATATTCTGTCGTTTTGCTTGAATCAGCCAGTGGCTGCTGCTTGCAACTCAGAGTTCTGATGGGGTTAGCAGAAATGACTTTGTTTAGGTCAAAGCTGCCAGAAGAGTTTGTGTGCAACCTGCCCACACAGGTCTCCTGCCCACTGGCAGGCTTCCAAGCAGCCGCTTCCATTGGTCACTTTTGTTCCCTCCTCCCCGCTCAGGGCTGCAAGGAGCTCATGCTTGAATGAACAGATACATTCTTATACTGGCACCTGGGGTTCACCAAGCCCCCTGACCTAGACTGAGCACTCCTGCCTGGGCACAAGACCCAACACCAGCTTCCAGCAAAAGGATGGAAAACAGGATTATTTACAATAGCTGGTGACAGGTAACAAAGCACGTACAGAACAGAACACGGCAGACTCCCTGAATCGGGTGGGAGATTTCTCAGAAGCACCCATGGGTTGGGTCCCAGGAGGATGTCCCCAGGAGTTAGTGGACCCCAGTCGGAGGAGGCGAAAGCCGAACGGAGCCGGCCGTAGTTGTAGGCAGCTCAGGGCACCCGGAGAGGGCCCCCCGCTGCCGCTGGGCAAACAAGTTCAGCAGGGGATGGACACAGGATGGTGGGGAAGCTGGGTCACCCAGGGAGCCCCGGTTCACCCTCATCCTTCAGCCCGTCCTGCCCACGCGTGCCTCCCCCCAGGAAGTGGCTTGCGGCGACGCACTGTCGAGGACAGCGTGGGAGGGAGTGGGGAGGGTGACCTGACCTGCAGGCGGGCCACGCAGCAGAACTTGGCCGAGGGATTTCGGAGGTGGATCCTTTCGGTCAGCAGGTTGCTGCCGTACGCGAAGTAGAGAAAAGTGTCCTCCCCCTGGGCCGAGTCTTCCTCGCTGGCCGAGTCCGCCATGTCCCCACCACACGCGTCGGGGGGCTACGAGCACGAGCGTCAGGGACGCGGAGCGCAGCACGGCTGCCGGCGACCCGGACCGGCCCAGCGGACAGCGCCGCCGCCCGCCGCGGGCGACTCAAGAAAAGGCGGAAAAATGTGGGATGGGCGAGTCGGGCGCTAGCTCCTTTCTGATTGGCCGCCCCCGCCCACAAACGCAGGTCCACAAACGCCCCCCTTTGGTTGGTCAAGCCCACCCTCCTGCTCTCCGCCTTCTCCGGGACGTGAGCGCTCAGAGCGGAGGCGGCCCCAGGCCGATTTCTCATTGGGCAGGCGCGTCTGACAGCCCGCCCCCTGTCTGATGGACGGGCGCGCCGCGGAGGCGAGTGGTGAGGAGTGGACTCTGAGGCCCGGGGCCGCGCGGCTGGTCGCTCACGCTTGGCCTGCGCGCGGGGCGTTCTGCGGCAGTTTTTTGGTCTTGACGGCTCTGCGGCCAGATCTGAGGCGGCGCAGCCCGGGCCTGGCCACGCCTCTAACGGCTCCCTCACGCCGGGGCTCGGCGGCGTCCTTGAGGAGGAGCCGGTGGGCAAGGGTGTGCGTGTGCGCCCCGCTCACTGGCTCCGACACGTGTGGCCGCAGCCGCCAGTCTGATACCTTGATTAAGGACACTTCGAGCCTGGAAAAGCCCCCTCGGAATGCCCAGGGCTTCCTTGCCCAGGGCTTCCTTGTCGTGCCCCGGGTTCAGATCCCTCTTATTGCCCCAGTCACCTAGGCAAGCTGGAGTTAGGATAAGCAAAGACGCTTATGTGGGTCATTTTAAATAAAAATGTGAACTCGGGACCTGCAAAGCAAGCAGGGGCTGGGAGGGGGGACTGGGACTGACCCGTGCACGACCCTTGGACCCCCTAGTATCGTCTCACCCTACCCAGTCAGGAAGCGGCCAAAGTCCAGGTTCTTTCTGGAGGATTGGGGAAGCCGCCTGAAGAACGACCTGGTAAAGGCAACAACTGGAACAGGGGAAAGATAGCAAGGGCTGCAGAGTGACTGAATCTGCCCACTGGAAAGATGTGGACGCCAAATTAAAGATACATAAATGAACCTCAGTTGCCGCGGCGTTGCTGGAAACGATTACAGATCTTCCCTCTGAAAAGCAGTAGTTTCAGAAAATATCTATCCTTTTAAGAGCCATTGCATTGCAGGATAACCCCCAGCAAAAAGTATGACAGCAATATAACACTCAATGCATGAAACGCTTAGCATTGGCCTTGTAGTGTAACTGACATCCTGTATGGGTGCCAGTTCAAGTCCCAGCTGCTCCAGTTCCCATCCTGCTGCTCAATGGTTTGGGCAAGCAGCTCAGGATGGTCCAAGGATCTGGGCTGCTGTACAGACCTTGGAGACCCTGAAGAAGCTGCTGGCTCATAACTTATTTCTGGCCTTGTCCTGGGTTTTGTGGCCATTTAGGAGAATGAACCAAGAGATGTAAGATCTCTTTCCCTAACTCTGCCTTTCAAATAAATAAAAGGAAATCTTGCAAAAAGAAAATCACCGTTTAAAAATTCATTTGGAAGGCAAAAGGAAACACAAGCGAGCTTCCACACCTAGGGCAGGGCCACGCTGAAAGCAGAACTCAGGTACTCTGCACTGGCCTCCCGTGCCGGAAGCAGAGGCTCAAGTTCTGAGCTGTCACCAGCTCTGAGTGAACCGGAAGCTGGAATTGGAAGCCTGTGGTTCCTAGGGACTCAGACCCAGCACTCTGCGTTGATTCATGCCAGGGTCAACTAATGTGATGAAAAGGCCATGGGAGACAGGACAGTCCCAGGATGCCAAATTCTCATTCAGGAATTACTGCTGGCCAGTGAGGTCAGGGGTGGAGTGGAGCTGGAGGAATTTTGTTCTTCCTATATTAACCCGGTTCAATCTTATCAACACTAAAGGTGGACAGACCTGAGCTTGTCTCCTGATGTGTTGCAGTAGGAACCTTCCAGTATCTTCTATAAAGTGCCGTTGCCAAAAACTTGCATTCTCAGCCTCGTGAGGCCATGAGGTCTGTCCTTGATTCCTCAGGATATACTAAGAAGAACCAGCAAGACCCAGAAAAAATGACAGACCCTCCAACTGGACAAATGACCCAGGCACTTAAATATGTCATTGTCATAAATAATAATAATAATGAAACAGCGCTGGGGGAGGGCTGTTCAGAGATGTGATAGACAAGTATAATGGCTTGTCCTTAGTCAATCATGGTTTAACAAACCAGGTGTATTTTAGGAGCAACTGAAGAAATTGGATTTGGATTGAGTTGGCAGGTGACAGCAGACAGCTGTTTTTAGGTGTGGGAATGACATTGCACTTACGTCTGTTTTTAGACATGCACACCGGTAAATTTTAAAGTGAAATGCTTGCCACCTATATTTTTACACAATTCTCAAAAGCACAGAAAATGGTGTTAAATGTTGTGATGTGAATACGAATATTCATGTTATCCCATCTCTTCTGTGTTTCAGTGTTCTCATGGTAGGAAGTTGAGAAGTGGGACAGAGTGGTCTACAGAGAGTGTTAGGCAGAGTGAACCCTGGGTAAATGAAGGATGCCTCGTTGCTCCACGATCTGCAGATCAGAATATTCCTGTCGTTCCCTCCCGTCAGGCCTCACGGCAACCCTGGGAATGCATACTTGGCCGTTTCTGAGAGCATGCTGCTCCTCTTGGCAAAGCCCACTCTCCCATCAGACATTTCCATAGCCTCTGCTTCACAGCACTGCCCTTAAACACGCCCTACTTTTCAAATATCTAAAACACATTATCTCATGATTCTGAAGAATACTTTTTTCTCCCTGTGTTGACTTCCAATCAGTTTTTCTCCGCAGTAGTTGGCAAGAGTTCTCCGAAGTTACGCATCACCATTTCCTTAAACACTGAGCTTCTATCCTTACCCTAGGCCTGCATCTTCTCCACATGGGACTCAGTGCCAGCAAGGAGCAGTAGGAAGCAAGGGTAGCTTTCGATTTTTATTTATTTTATTTATTTGAAAGGCAGAGAGAGGTAGAGGGGAAGGAGGGATCTTTGACCTTCTGGTTCACTCCCTAAATGCCACAAACAGCAGGTCTGGTCCAGGCAAAAACCAGGAGCCTGGAACTCCGTCTAGATCTCAGATGTGGCTGGCAGGGCCCCAAGAGTTTGAGTCAGAGCAAGCTGCCTCCCCAGGTGTGCATTAGCGGAAGTTGGATCCAGAGCAAGGTCAGAACTGGAATCCAGGGACTTGGATAGGGGCTGTGGGCATCCTAAGCAACAACTGAAATGCTGTACCACTTTTGTATTTTTGTAAAATATAACCAAAGCTTGGTTATTATTGACTAGCATTCACTGAGCACTTATTAAGTGCCCTCCATGGGTCTAAATTCTTACCTAGTATGTGTCAGAATAGAAAACCTGAAAAAACACCCCTATATAGCAAGTGTTCATCTGGTACTTCTGTTACAGTTAAGGCAGGTTGGGCCCAGTGGGTTTACTACCTTGCCCCCAGGCTATGGTTAACAACATCTGAAGCAGACACTGAGCCCCACAACCTGCATCCAAAGGCACCCCTGGGTGCTGTTTGGGTGCTGCTTCCCAGATTTCTTACCATTCGTTATTAATGGTGCTCCAGAAGCAATTAGTTGTTGATAACCCACTTTCAAATGCAATCTCTGTCTTTGCTACATGATGAAATAATGATTCCAGGCTTCAGCAACTTGATGGTTTCTCCCAAGTATCATCATTTAATCTAGTGATCTATAAAGGGTGGATATTACATCATCAAAAAGCTCTGTGTACACAATCACAATTGTCTAAGTATGCCAGTGTATATGCATAAATCTAATAGTAGTATGTCATAATGATAATATATACTAACAATAGTACATCAGGATACTTCACCAAGTTTGAGGAAAATGGAATTTAACAGGTTTTTGAAGAGGGAGGGCCAGCATTGTGGCACAGCAGGTCAACCACCAACTGAAGCTTGCATCTCCTTTTGGAGCACCAGTCATGTACTGGCTTCTCTACTTCTGATGCAGCTCCCTGCTAATGCCCATGAACTTGAATTTCTGCCATTCATGTGAGAGACCCAGATGGATTCCAGGTTCCTGGCTTCAACCTGGTTAGTCTTGACCATTGAATAAATCAGTGAACGGAAGACTCCGTGTGTGTGTGTGTCCGTGCACATGTGCAACTCTGTCTTCCAAATAAAATTTAAAAAAGAAAAAACTAGCTTATTTTGAAGCAGAAAATGTTTCACTCTGCATACAAGAGGTATGGAAATGTATATTCTGAGAAAACTTTGAAGAGATTTATATTGTTTTTCTGAAAATAAATCTTGAGTACTCCTAGGAACTGCCCATTTGAATTTTGTTTCAGAGGTAGACACAGAGTGAACTCTGCCCTGCAAATGCCTGCAATGGTAGGGGGCTAAAGCCAGGAACCGGGAACTCAGTCTAGGCTGGCTGCATCACTCGGGTTATCACCACCTCCTCTCTGCTCCCACACTTCCCTCCACACCCCTCCTGCCACTGCCAGCTCCCAGATGACTGCAACAGTGGGAATGATGTGATGTAATGTGCATAATGCATTAACTAAGGCAAGCATAACAAAATACTTTGAGAGCAAAAGTCTTTAAAAACTGTTTTTTAAAGGTTTATTTTTATTGGAAAGGCAGATTTACAGAGAGAAGGAGACACAGAAAGATCTTCCATCTGCTGGTTCACTCACCCAATGGCTGCAATGGTTGGAGCTTAAGTGATCCGAAGCCAGGAGCCAGAAACCTCCTTCTGGGTCTCCCATGTAGGTGCAGGGTCCCAAGGCACTAGGCCAGTCTCCATTGTTTTCCCAAGCCACAAACAGGGAGCTGCATGAGAAGTGGAGCAGCTGGGACACAAACCAACACCCATGTGAGGTGCTGGCACTTACAAGCAGATGATTAGCCAGTTGAGTTATTGTGTCAGGCACTTTAAAAACACTTTCTAGGGCCCAGCACAATAGCCTAGTGGCTAAATCCTTGCCTTGCATCCACTGGGATCATATGTGGGTGCCTGTTCATATCCCAGCTGCCCTGCTTTCTGTCCAGCTCCCTGCTTATGACCTGGG